CGACAAGGGTTGCATTACCGGAAATTATTCAAATTAAATAGGATTCTTCATATCAATAATGTATACATATAATATCAATTTTAAAACAATCAGATGATTAAAGGTAGTCTGTAGAGTGTTCAGAAGAAATTGTGAACGGACGGACGGGCGAGATGGCAATATACGACTACATCTCCATGTGGGCGTATAAAAATGGGTTATTGTTAAATGCCTTCTAAGACAATATCTACTGCAGCGGTCCCACAGCTGAGGAGACTCGATAACCGTGATCCAATCATATTCGTGGATCCTCATGTCTATTTTATAGTTTGCTCTGAAAACGGAAAACTAAACAGACTTGATAATCCTGTTTCAATTACCTGGTTGCTTGGAATTCTACATCTAAATCTTTCGTTCCATCTAAAACTCTTCCCACGTCCGGTGGTGTCACGTCAATTATTACACCATCAGAAATGGCCGACGTACACATGTCCGCCATATTGCACCCTGTTACCGTGGTGATATATTTTGTTCCAGGAGTCAATTTGGACGGTGGAAAGGTAAAATCTGAAATATGTATCGGTTTTAACATTTATAAGGACATATACCTAATTTATTTTAAAGAGAATAGCTTATATTTTTACAATAAAACTTAACTACTATCTGAAATATGTATCGGTTGTTAAAATTTATTAGAACACCTACCAAATTTATTTTAACGAAACTAGACCTTATTTTTACAATAAAACTTAACTACCTCTTCTTGGGAATATTTATTAATAGTTCTATGACAGATTGTAGTTTGTAATAATATTTTCCTTACGTGTAGATATTCCTGTTTTGATTTCTGGAATTATGTCATCACAATCATCACAGGTACCAACTTTAACAGTATAGTATTGCATTGATGAATGGGGATCATGAAATCCTTGCCATCTAACAGAAAGTGGTGATTCGTTAGTTATATAATCTACGTCATCTCCGGTATAGTTTGTATTAAGAATATCGATGACATGTCCTGTGGTAGGAGGAGTTGTGTCTACTGTCACTGGATGAGATATTAATGTAGTAGATAACCCTGCACCATTAATGGCCTGAAACATCACAATAGACAAGAGTTATTTTAAATTTGGTATATAGAATACAAAGATAAGAAGCATGTAGCATGAATTTGAAAACTTTTCTATTGGAAATTTCGTCAGTTATAGCAAACCGTCTAAAAGATTAGCATCAATTTCTTTGAAATAATAAAGGGATAAATAATAAAGCACAATGTAAATTGAAAACCATATGACCATTCTCTTGGTTTGTTCCCACTTTATCTACAGTTACATCAACCATAATTCATTAAAGAGATATACCTGAACTGTGACGTAATAAACGTGTCCATCTTGTAATTTTTGTTCTAAATTCGCTTCATCACAATCATTATCTGTTATCATATATCCCCTAATGTTTTCATGACCTGGTCTAGTACCTATTGCCCACCGATACTGACTTATACCGCTTTCGGTGTCTTTAAATGATCCGCCCCAACTGTAAATATATCATATAAAAGGGATGATGCACTTCAATTGTCAATAAATCAAATAAAATGGCACAGACACTTTAATACATTATTTACAAACATGCAGTGTGCTATGAGGGTGAACTTTCAACTGCCAAGGGATCTTATACATGGGATCGAAACCGAGGCATTCTGTTCTTTTACGTTTACAAGGAACTTAGATGTTTCATTACACCCAAACGACTAGACCGTTCTTTGCCAGGCCACCCGTCTTAGCGAATGCGACGACCTTCTGAAATCGAAGTCCAAAGCATCGATTCATTTAGCTATAAATGATAAAAGGTATCGTGCACGTGTCGAGGTAGGCTTACTATTTCACGCCTTCAGAAACACCGGTTTTCAAATACTTTCGCTGGGGTTAATGGCTTCCATTGTGTTTTGTTTACTAACACTAGATTCTATATAAACATACCACGCAGACAATACATCATTTGACTGTATATATGTATTAGTAAATTGTATAGGTTTAGATGTAGTTTCTGGTGGACTATTATCAATTATGAAACCTTCTGATGAAACGGTTTTTGTTCTGTTTACAAAATCAATTGCTGAAAATAAAAGAAAACAATATTAACACTTAACAAGCAATAGTGGCGCCAGCTTATGGAACCAACGGATAAAAGAAATGGGTGTATACTAACGAACGAGCAATTTTGCCAAGCGGGCAATAGAAATCAATTCATTTTGCATAGACGATCGGGGTGTGTAGATTTACAATTAATTACACGAATGTAATACATGATTAACAAATTTAATTTAATGATTTCTATTTGCTTTTATTTAAATTATACATTTTTTGTAAACAGAAAAATTGAATTTATACTTACCTTCTACAGTGACGTAATAAGTGTGGCCATTTTGTAAAGAAAGATGGTGGAATATTTTATGATTAATCAAACCAACGTTATGTTTAGTTACAATATCTTCACCTCCCTCTATAGAACCTTTATAAGTAAAAGAAAATTTACAGAATGTAAAGAACAGCATATTTACAGATTGACAATAAGGTATGTTCGTTCACTTTTAACTTGTTGATTCAGCGATCACTGTCGCATCTTTGAAAAACTGTAACCATACCGATATATAAATGATATTTTGATATTCCACTTGGATGAACAGTTTTTCCACCATTTTCTTCTACGTCAAGAAAGCTATCCCAGTAAACAGCTACATCACTGTCGGATGACTGAAATAATATATTGGTTATATATATACAACTACCTCTACGCAATAAAAATATATATATTTCTATACATTACGAATTGTATAATGGAAAAGGTAAGATTAATCAAATACTAGAAACAACAGATAGCTATATAGCATATTGTCCGAGGATCGAACCATTATACCGAAACACTATTAATCGGGCTAACAGGGAATTACAAGGAATGAATGACATATCAAATCTTATATGTGTTCGAGTATACTGGGATCGCGACAACGGGATTCGACAATATTTATATAGAAATATTACTTGATATTTAAAATCTTTCAAGTTCTCCACCCAAACCCGACCACCATTTGGTGGAGTCAAATCAACAGTTACTCCATCACTACAAGCGTTTACTTCTTCCAAATCTTCCGTCCATTTTTCATAACCAGCGACAGCAGCATCAGCACGGATACAGATATAATACCGTCTTCCATGTTTTAAAATATTTGGATTTAATACATTGATGTATTCCTTTTCTGTGAAAAGAAATAAAAATAAATGCGGTGAAATTGAAGTCTTAATGATAACGTCAATGAAGTATCCTGCAAAGTGAGTGTTCTTTTTGTCGATCAATCAATCAATCCATCAATCAACACAGAATTTGTATAGTAGACAATTCCAGAGAAAGGTGCTGCAGAATGAAAAGATCGTTTAGTGTGTTCAAGTTTGATAGCAGGAATTACTAATAATGACTTGTTCTGTGATATTAGGGTTCTACTGGATTCATATGGAATGAGTAGATCTTTTATGCATTGTGGTGCTTAAATGTCGAGTGCTTTAAAATTCATTAACAGTATATTGAAAATGATTCGCCGATTTATGTGTTACCAATGGAGGGTATTAATGTTGGTTTAAAGCTGAACTCCGATTACAAAACTACAGTAATAATCAAATAAAAAACAATTTTACACCCTAAATAATCGCCATACTTGTTTTCAAGTTGTAGAAAAATCATGAACGATTGTACGGCGTACAAAAACAAGAGGCAGGCCACGCCCACACCCAGTTCATGCCTTGTCAACCACACTGTCCACATCCGGCTAGCAATATTTCAGCTGACTGATTGACGTTTTTTTCACTATCAGTTTACTGAAAATATTATTGCTAGACAATTATTATGTTTTGATCACGTACATATTATTTTACTAATTAGACAAAAAAAGTAAACCACGGTGTACTTTTGCTCTAAAAAATATGAGAAAAACTGCCTTACGCTACCCCAAACAATAACAAATCTACCAACACAAACAATTTTTTTCTAATTTCTTGAAATGTTTTGTATAACAGCGTGGAAACACCAAATAATTTCTAGTATTATAAAGTCTAGTATTACCGTTCCAAAATATATCCAAAGCAGCAATAAAACTGTTGTTCTCTCCATCAAAGAAATATGTTTTCACCTCAAAATATTCACCATCTTGTGAAGTAGTTATGTCCCTTGATGTTATGTCAACTACATAGATTTGGTTGGTGTTGGTAGATTTTTAGAGGAAAAGTATACCGTGGTTTACTTATTTATTAGTAAAATAATATGTACCTGATCAGATATAATAATTAGGTAGCAATAATACTTTCAGTAAACTGTTAGTGAAAAAACGTCAATCAGTCAGCTGAAATATTGCTAGCCGGATGTGGACAGTGTGGCTGACAAGGCGTGAACTGGATGTGGGCGTGGCATGCCTCTTGTTTTTGTACGCCGTACAATTGTCCATGATTGTTCTACAACTTGAAAACAAGTATGGCGATTATTTAGGGTGTTATTTTTTTTTATTTGATTATTTCTGTAGTTTTGTAATCGGAGTTCAGCTTTAATGTGATCCCTTTGCCTTGTTCCAGTGATGAGTCGAGCTGAAGCATTCTGAACATATTGGATTTTCTGCAGCTGCCGCTGTGGTAGACCACACAATAAAGCATTATGGTAGGCCAGCCTTGAAGAAGGGCGTAAGGAACTAGTGCAAGGAATCAATGGAATGAAGCCTATATGACATTTGAAGATGACCGAAACTCCCTCACCGGTTTGTCCACACTGTATAACATCTGGATGTGAACAAGGATCTCTTATCGTCATCTTCGGTCGAGTAAAATGTGTTACAATAGATAAGGCTTGATCTTCCAGTAAACCCCAAGTATAGTTTCTATGTCTTAAGGTGGGCCACACAGCCGATATAATATTTTTATAAGGTGTATAGTCCACATCTGGTTTAGACCAGACTGCGTTCTGATCCAGAGAAATTGACGTTCCTAGTTCATTTGTGTTAGGATCTGAAATACAAAACAAACAACATCTTCAAATTCTTCAAACGCTACACATAAAAAGATGGAGACGTCATAATCCATGGATCTTTCAAACCTCTCTACGTGTGCGTGTGTGGGTGTGCGTGCGTGTGTGTGTGGATGTGGGTGTGTGTGGGAGCGTATGTGTGTTGTTTTTTTTTGGGGGGGGGGGGGGCTTGCGCGCTTTTATTTCAATTCCAATTTACATTCAAAAAGTACTCACCGTTATTTAGTGGCTGTCCTATAGCATCTATAACGATAGCCGGTATAATTAATACTGGATCTACAGCTGAACAGTTTTTAATATCCGACGATATTATTGTTGATAAACCAGCTTTATTAAATATTCTTACAGCCAATCTTCTACATTCACTAAAATCAATTTCACCATCTAAATTAATGCTAAACTGAATCTAGGAAATACAATAATTTTCCATGAAATAGTTTGTCTTTATGACACAATTTTGAAAACAGGTTCGCGTAGTTACATAGATATCCTGTTGAAATGAAATACCACACAGATGATTTTCCTTCAACGCAACCTTTTTTGTGGTGCACGTACTATTTCTAAAAAAACCGATACATTTTGTTGTTGTGCATTGATAGCTTTGGGGACGGACAACACCCCTAACACAGTTACATATTTTGTTCTTTCTTTCTATGGGTTTGCCTAAAATCTGTAATCAAGATTACGTTTTAAGGCATTTTCATAATGTATACCGCTGTAACAGATTTATAAAAGCATGCAGACAATCTTAGAATTTAAATTCTTACCATTGTCTCACTGATTTTCTGTACATTGTTTACTTTGCTCCATTTAGTAAATAAATGACTATTGTGTTTATTATCTGTTATACTCCACATATATTGATCTATGGTAGACTCCACAGAACACACTTTATCTTCGGTATTACTCTTGTAAGTCAAGCTAACATCTAACTGGGATATGGAATAAAAAATGAAATGATAACCGTATTATATTAAAACAAACTTTCATATCAGGTTACATTTAGTAGCTCATTGAAGGATTTTAGGTTCATGCTGGGTTAATTGTATGGCTACCTCGTTAGGTTGCATGACGTCGTTGTGCTCATCAAGGTGTTATTAACGGTATATTAACGTTAAGTTGTTATCTGGGTGATTTTGTTAGCATTCGGCCAGCAACTATTACTATAGTGCGCTGCAAATTAAATATTTGATTATGCATAAATATTAGACAGATACAAAGAAATCATTTTAATTAGTTGGATTATATTATTTATATTTGATTTACCTGGGAACTTTGCATCTGTTTGTGGAGTATATCTATATGTGGCATATCAGGTTCGCTCAACACTGTTACACCATTACTGACTACAGGTTGAGAACAAACTTCACCCGAACAGAACCTCACACTACTTCTATATGTTTTACAATAATCTAATACTACTGGTTGGAAGATTCGACCAGAATTTGATAGAAAATTCTTATCTTCTACATTGTACCATATATCCTCTGTTAAACAATGAATAATAATTTAATAATAAAAATAATTACACTCTAATATCAGTTTGCTGAGTAACCTTCTTTATTTTTATCAACCATACAATTTATGTAAATTTAAACAATTGGACGCTACTTCTCTAGAGATTCTATTTTTTTCTAATTATAAATATATCAAAATGCTATAATCAACAACCGCACTAATGCATTATATTCATTTATTTCAAAGTAATTCAAACATTTACCTGTGTTTTTCTGTCTCATTTGTAGCGTCCATTTAATATCAGGATACATATGTTTATATGCATTTGATATTGTCCAATGTGCCATGTAATAAGATGTTGATATTTGATAGTCAATATCCGACTCACAATCTGAGCTTGAATTCTGTGTCAGAAAGAAAAATGGCGTATATTCTTAAAGTGTTCTTAATTGAAGGTTTTATAGATAAATATTTGAAAACTGACAACACCAATAACTACATTGTATCACTATTAATACCTCCAGTATCAGTTCAATACATGTAATGTATTTTTCATGAACATAATTTTAAAATTTAGAATTAAAACGCTAATAAAATAAATATTGTACTATTCTTAGCTTACTAATTATTAGGAAAATAGTTTACCTTTTGTGAATGGTGGTTTGGTAGCCATGATAGTTTTTCTATGTTTGATATTATTATAAAATGTAAGAAAGTAATATGGTATAAGGATAGGAAAATAATGTTATGTTTTATTTGAAATAATTATCAACTGTGGAACTCGGATTTCAATTAGGAGTATAATAGCTTTATAGCCATATTATGATCATGCATTGTACATTTTCAGTAGTACTTAATATCAAATACAAGGGATATAAATGTGACCCTTGCTGCCGGCCTACATCAACTATTGGTTTTATAAGCTGATATATAGTTGATGGCAAATGTTTATATCTACGAGGTAATCTGAATTTAAAGGAGCTAAGTCGCTAATATTTGGGACCTAGAAATTGACACAAATGGGTCGCAACGCATACAATAATGTAATACGAATGTATATAAATTGATTTACATTAAATCGTTTCTATTTTTACTGTAATTTCTAATCAGTTAGGTTCGGCGAAATACGCCAGTATTCTCAATCGAATTTCAATCTCTAGCGTCTGGTTATTCCAGTCTACGCCGATAGTATTTATTGGGCATGCTCTCCAGATAAGAATATAGCGTCACCGTTTGACATGACCTGTGGAATATGCCTAGCCTCGGTTTTCAATTCCCTTATTACAAATAGCGCTGAAACGCATTATGGTACAAGATTCGTGTACCAATTGTAAAATGTTTATTTTGTCTTTAAATATTGGATATCAGAAGGCCATTTTTTCCCAGTAAGATCACAACATCAATGTTGATTTAACCCGACAAATAAATCGTGTTTTCAATGTCGAAAATTTTGGATGATATTGAGTTAGAGACTTAGCTACTTTAATCATTAATACAGTATTTACGAGGTTATGCATATTTGTTAAAAATGTGGTTGTGAGGTAATCTTTATTCGTAAACACTATAGTTATGAATAAGGCTGTTTATTAATTTACCCTTTTGCTGACAATCAGAGCCATCTTTTATCTGAACTTCATTATTCAGGTTAACATTTTTCTGAACTATAGTGATACCATTAGACGACGCCTTTGTTGTTCCGGCGTCACTCCTAGCTGTTACCGTTACAAAGTAAGTCTAAAAATAGTAACAATAATAATATTGACAGAATATATTACTAATACATACAAATGTAGATTTCTTTATTTGTGAACGGGTCTTAACATGAGGCATCTAGAGCAATAAGGAGGTTTTTCTGACAAACGTGTATCTTGTAGCGTCTGTATACAATTGTTACATTAAAATATCCTACCTACCTTGTGCAGCTGTAAATTAAGCCCGAGAAACGTATGCTGTGTCTTACTGCCAACGTTTTCATCTTTTATATCAATAACGAGTGGTTGAGAGCCAACACCAATACTGTAAGTCACATGCTCGGCCATATCATCAGATTCAAACCCAAACCATCTTGCTTTTAATTTACTGGTTGATAGTTGAAAATTACTGTCTTCTAACTCCTAAAGGGAACATTATATAATTATAAACAAATGTGTTCCAATAGAGAAATAAAACCGCAGATGAAAGCCTATGTTAGGTACTGTTATCAATACCAGCGCAAATGTTTACCATAAGACGGAATAGTATTTTGTAATATCAGTTTAGTGGATTTTGAATACACGCTGCTACAAAAGTAAATGATCGAGTATGACCAAAGACTAGACGGTTTCTTTAACTAGCTATGTAGGTTGCAATGTATGGGAAGAGTAATGGTCCAAGTTACCAAACATGATTCGATATTATATTTAATTTTAACGAAGCTACCACACTGTCACAATACCGCCAACTGTTGAAAACAGTTAACACAAAATTATGTGCATTAAACTATCTGTTCCTTAGAAATGGATGCACATGCGTCTTGCAAACGAGTCCGCCGTAAACATATATGAAAAAGCTTACATTAATTCCAAAATCAACTGCCTCATCAGGTAGAATAACTTCAAATACAACTCCCGTGGCTGGGTTTCTGGTATTATGAATATATGGATTAGATGTGAACACACTGTGTAATCCTACTATATTCTCTACTCTTATAGATACATAGTAGGTAAAGTTGTGATGTAAATCCCAATGAAGATCCTCCATGGAAAAAGCTGTACAGGTTAGTGGGTTAGCTAACGTGCAGCTTCCGCCAGACGATAATGAAGAATACGAATACACGTCTTCGGTTCCTGGTGAACTACCTGTAAAATGAATACATTTCTTCTGTATATTCATGACAAAGAACAAACCTTTCGTTTTTCAGATCCGAATCCAATTTTATGATTGCTATTCACAAAGTAGAATTCCGAATAGTTGCCAGATTTTACCCCATTCCCGATCACTATTAACTACTAATTGAAAATATTATCTTTTTTAAAAATCGGATTTTAGCGAAGGCAGCACTCATGCATAAACTTACCTACAGCCGCTGTAAAGGTAAGTTGCGACGACTCGGGATCAGATACAACTGCTGCTGACCAATCGGCCTCCAATATCTCATCCTCAAATTTAACCAGTACCTCACCACCAACAGTAGGGGGAATAGTATGAACTAAGATCGGTCCTAATCCCTGGAAAATAATTATAACATGTTTTATGGGTAACGTAAGTCTTATCAAAATATTCTAACTTTTTAAACTTTTTCAGAAAAATAAACCAATATTTGATTAAAGTACTAAAATCATAAACAAGCGCCACCAACCTGAACAGTTTCTTTTCCAGCTTTGTTAATTGCCTTAATACTGATGTAGAATTCTGTTCCATCACTTAGTTGTGGGTGGTAACCACGGTACCAAGAATGGTGATGGGTTGACGTAAATGGTAAAACGTCAGGGGCAGAAACTGAACTTTCAGCAGATGCTACACCAAATTCATAATTGTAAATTTCTGTATTCATCAAACTACCCTTAGCAGTCCAATTAACATATAACTGAAATAAAATTATTTTTTGTTATGTTCTTATCTTGGTTTTAGATTGTTAAGACCTATGAAAATAGGACTCAATCCGGTAAAGAGAATTCGATAACGATTTTTTTACTGCGTTTGTGATGTAGTCTCATTTACTAGAGATGTGATCAGAATGTCTCCCAATTCCGAAAATGATCACGCGGTTCCCGGAATCAGCTTTATCTTACCAGACAATGTATTATACCGACTGCTATTCGTCCATATCATGAATAAAGACTAAAATTATACAACGCAATGGCCCCTTCAACTCTACGGGTTGCCGAGTGATTAATTAGGGCATAATAAACTCGCAAATCTATATATTATATGTTATTGTGTTTATCGCTCTGTCTCCATTAGCCTACTCGGAACAGAACAGTAGGGCGTTAAACCTCATTTGTATTAATTATGTAGAAGACTATTCATGGGTTAATGACATGCTCTGTTGAGGGGTGTTCAAATTCCGAATTCACCTCTGAACGAGAAACAGAATATACTTACATGAGAATGCATTGCAAGATACATCTTTGAAAAAAATACATCTGTCATTGGGTTTTCATCACAAAACATATTCGCCGGATATGTATGTATTGTACCATTAGAAAACCGCTCAATGGGAAAAAGATCGGTATCATCAACCGTTTTGGCTTTTCTCCTGAAATATATTGATCTATTCTATTACAATAACATTCTCTTCGTTTAATTTAGGAATACGTCGGGGCTAGGCTTCGTTTGGAGTGAATACTTGTAGGTTACTTTTACCTCATTTATAAAGTTTTACTAGCAAGTTAATTATTCCAACGGAATCTTGTGTTGTCTTTAACTTGCATGTGTAAACAATATAACATGTTATTATGTCTTTATTTCCAAGCTTGATAATATTTAATCCGACCTTCTACTGCACACAATTGATCTCAGTCATCTACTGTTTACTCGAAGACTAACAGTCATTGATACTTATTGATATTAAGTGGGTCCTTATCCATTTTGTATTGTAAAATAGTTTAATTTGTTTACTTATTCTAATGTCTTGTAGATATAAATATGGAGATATTATCCGACTAGGCTTTTTGTCAGCTGAGAATTTACATTAGTTGAAAAGGTATCCATGGGTTCGGTTACTATACAAAACGATTTATTTTAATGAATCATATTAACCAGCGGCTGCCAGGCAGGATACGCCCACATTTTGCAAGAGATTGATAGAGAACAAGCTAAAAAAAAGATTTTTCGTGCAATCAAGGGCCATAATTCAGGAAGTTACGATCCGATATGCGCGAATATCGAAAGGAACCAAGATCTTTGGGTTACAAAGATGTATATCAAGTTTCATAAAAATCAGATCACCAGTGGCTGCCAGGCAGGATACGACCACATTTTGCAAGAGATGGATAGAGAACAAGCTAAAAACAAACGGAATGTTTTGTACAGTCAGGGGCAATAATCCAAATATCAAAAAATACCGAGATCTTTGGGATATAAAGATATGTTTAAAGTTTCATCAAAATCGGATAAAAATTGTGACCTCTAGAGGCTCCACAACCTTCGTATTGCATGCTTTTACACAATTTGCGTACAAAGGGCGGCTATTTTGTCGGACAGTTTCATTTCGATTTTCCCTAAATTCGAATCCAACCGTCATTATGGTGGAATGGTGATATATTTAAACGGTTTTTAAAATCGGAAAAAAATGTGACCTCTAGAGAATCCGCGAGCTAAAAATGCGATTTTTCGAACAATCAGGAGCCATAATACAGGAAATTATGTTCGGATATGCACGATTATCAAAAGCAACCAAGATCTTAGTGTGTAATGGTGATATATTCACATGTTTTTTTTTTAAAATCGGATAATTAAAATTGTGACCTCTACAGGGACAGTAAGCTAAAAACGTGATTTTTTGTACAATCAAGGGTCATAATTCAGGAAGATACGATGCGATACGCGCGAATATCGAAAGGAACCAAGATCTTTGGGTAACAAACATGTATTTCAACTTTCATCAAAATCTGATCAAAATTGTGACCTCTAGAGGGTCCACAATCTTGATATACCAGAGGCTATATACACTATTTGCGTACGAGGGGCGGCCATTTTGTCCGGCAGTTTTAGTCCGAGATTCATGAAATTCGAACTCCACAAACATCACGGTGTAACGGTGATATTATGTTCGAACGTTTTGATAAATCGAATAATAATTGTGACCTCTAGAGGGACCACAAGCTAAAAACGCGATTTTTCGTACAATCAGGGACCATAATTCAGGAAGTTACGATCCGATATGCGCGAATATCGACAAGGAACCAAGATCCTTGGGTTATAAACTTACATGTCATGTTTCATCAAAATCGGATCAAAACTCTAGAGAGTCCACAACCTTGATATACCAGATGTTTACACTGTTTGCGTACAAGGGGCGGTCATTTTGTCCGATAGTTTCGGCCCGATTTTCATGAAAAGCAAACTCAACCATCCTCAGAGTGTAACGGTGATATATTCAAACGTTTTTTTTTAAATCGGATAAAAATGATGACCTCTATAGTGTCCACAAGCTAAAAACGCGATTTTTCGTACAATCAGGGGCCATAATTCAGGAAGTTACGGTCTGATATGCGCGAATCGAGATCTTTGGGTTATAACCTTACATTTTAAGTTTCAGCAAAATCGGATAAAAATTGTGACCTCTCGAGGGTCCACAAGCTAAAAATGCGATTTATCGTACAATCAGGGGCCATAATCCATGAAGTTACGGTCTGATACATGCCAATATCGAAAGGAAACGAGATCTTAGGGAGATAAACCTACATTTCTAGTTTCATTGAAATCGGATAACCATTGATAAATACATGGATACAAGGTGTTTAACGTTATATTTTTAATATACGAAAATGACTTAAACTCAAGATTGCACTTACATACAAGCTGAATCTGGGTCTTTAAGTAAATATTTGCGTCTTGTATTTGATATATAATATACTTGATTATTTTCCTTTATTAAACCACCTTTAATTCTAGCCCCTTCTATATCTATTTCACTTATGGTAGGTAATGTTCTATCAACAACAACTCCATCAGAACAAACTGGTACAGATACTTCTAAGGCTCGGTTATATGCTACCACGGTGATGTAATATTTACCATCAGACGGTGCTGCCCAAGAAGCATGCGTAGATGTAGTCTGTTGGACATCCTAAAAGTATAATAGTATGAGATGAGCCCTTATAAACGTTCTACCATAAAAAGGATAAATCTTACCACGGACAAATACAATTACTTTGAAAAAGATTGATTTCAGTTGTTTAATGTCATTAGATTACCTGTTTATTTGCAAGATTCAGATGAAATTTATTGGCATCCAAACAAGACGTGGAAAAACCATACTGATAAAATTTCACCCCACTCTCTCTATCAAAGAAACCTTCCCAGTGTGCAAATAGTTCTAAATCTGGCTGAAAGTCTACTTCCGGTGTTCCATATTTACCGTCATGCACCATCCCTTGGTGGGGTGGACTAGCATCAATTGTTATCTGAAATTAAACGAGATTATAACGTAAAGACGCAATTAATAATTGATATATACCAGATGTAACTCTATATAGTGATGTAGGTCTATATAGTTAGTTTCATAAATGCAACATGCCAATGCTCCCTAACAAATTAAATTATTCTAAATAAAAAAAGGCAGTCACCCTACAAAGGTAAATTTGTTGTCATAATATATTCATATCAATGTAACAATGTTTATTTATCACGTAATCATAATAAATCCAAACAAATCTTGCATGGAGCAAGGAAGAATGTAAAGTGTGAAACCTTGTAGAGTATTTTTTAAAAATCCAAACACATCCAATAATAAATCCAAAATGAAGCAAAGAAGAATGTAGAGTGTGAAACATTATTATGTATATTTGTGGTTAAAACTCCATATTGAAAATCTAATACATGCCTGTTTAGTTAGAGTTGTTTTTAATTTAGCTTGGTTCATCACAGTAACCACGATACGATAATCATGATCATGCGTACCAGTATTTTTATTGTTTAAGATGCCTTCTCCTGGTGTAGCAGTAGTAGGTGGTTTTATTTGAAAATGGCGATGATAACATGTGCTAGTAGGAATGCAATAACAATTGGCTCCTCTGGCATTATTAGAATATTTACTTTGGCATTCTCTAATGTTCTGAAAGATAAAATCAATACAAAGTTATTAATAGTAGTCACGGAGGACTGGTGCATAAGGAGTTGTCTCCCCTGTTGCACTGTGGGATTGCGGCCCCCTCCCCTCTTTTTAACTAATATTTTGAAGTACAAAATATTGTTTAATCTTTTATGTAGAGTAAAGAATTTAATAAGCAATTCGCGAGAAGATATTCACGCAGTTTCCCCATTGGTATATAAAACCTTTTCTTCATTATCGCATACTTACCGTTGTTTCGCCTTGCGGTGGAATACGCTGAGATCCATGTTCTACTTCAGTTAAATGATCCAATATCTTCCATTGTACCGTCTCTATTCCACTATGATCATCATAGGCTATCCATTCTATGCTGTAAATTATATGACATTATACTATCACTATTACCTATCCTATAAGGTAACAATGTTCTGCATTATATAATATCAATACATGTATACCGACAACTTCAAAAAGAAACAGGGGCCTGTTTCACGAAATTTTAACTAAGATAAAATCCACATTTTAGTAATTTGATTGGATAATATTAAGTTGATTTTAGCGCTTAGCCAATCAAAATTGAAGTATCTACTTAAAATTGGATTTTATCTTTAGTTAAGATTTCGAGAAACAGGACCCAGGATAAACTGAATGACAAAATACAAAATGTAATGGAGGTATTCTACATGTAAGGAACTATTCTGCCTATTCCAGGTGATACCTAATTTCAAATCACGAGTTTGTATTCCAAGGCAATATGACTCATACGTAAAATATGTCTTAAGTACTTAGTCTGTTACTTACACCATTTTATCAAGTTCCTCAAAACCATGAACTGCTAGATTAACCTCATCACCTTTTGTTAACCATAGATTTTCAATAACAGGTGGAGAATTATCAAAATGGACAGTCAACGATTCTTCCTTGTATTGAGATAAAATATCATAAGCTCTGATAAAATATCGTAAAGTATCGCCATCTTTCAGATCCGGTGTTATTGTCACTTGTTGATCAAGTCGTAGATCTACGAATTCATTCAGAGAAGGCTGGTTAATCGAACTTCCTCCAGTGTGGTCCACTTTATATATGGTTTTAATACTAACAATTCCTAAAATATTAAATCCAAATTATCTAATATAATATTCAAATGTCAAGGATAAGATCACATAATAGGCAATAAAAATTGAACATTTTCATAAACTTTAAATGCATTTGATATAATAATAGGACGTAGTCATCAAGGTCCAAACTGTTCGGACTGAACTGATTGCACCTTATTTCGCCATTTAAGGGAGGGACTGATTTATCAATATCATATCTGGTAAAAAAGTTTTACTGCCTACAGTCATACCTTCAAGCCATAATTAAACCTCTGTTACCTTGTACATTGCTGATTGCCTGCGTTGTTCTAGACCCATAATTATCATCATATTGAGACTCTACACCAGGTTCTGATTCAACAGCTGCTAGAAAACGACCATTATGATGTACAGTGTTGATATATCTATTAGTCCAACTGATTGTAACAGAATTTAAATTAGTCTGCCATTTGTAATTGGTAGTGGAAAGAGCAGTTGTCACTCTAAGCACACTCCAAGACGTCGTTGTTACAGCAGACGTGTCATCAAATATTACCAATCGTCTGGCCTTCTTATAATTTCCAGCTTTATCATAGGCTGATAAAATTATAGAATATACGGCGGGATCGGGGAATGTAACAACAACACTTTTCTGAAAGAATAAAATGTTAAAGTTTCGCGATGACAAGCATATTAATCTAAAAATACACGTTTATCTTTATCTTCCAGAACTGCATATTTGCACTTCATTTTGTAGTCCTATTTACTATCATTTTAATTATTTCGGTTTTTATGTTGTTGTCGTTATTAGGTTTTATCTAACTTTGTCAACAATTTCATTTTTTGCTTTTATTGCATCTTTTATTCCTTATCTCCCACAAACTGGCTTTCAACTACTTTTTATACACACTGTTGGTAAAAAAGAAAAATGTTCTCTAAATGATGCTCTGTTTAATGTATTGGAGTCGCTAGCTACAAGTGACAACGGGGACTACTTTGCATTATTCTCCAACTTTCTTAGACTGACAGTTCTGCCACAATTTATTCCCCGACGTAAGATACTGGTGTCCAGTCATCTCGTGCACAGATTAGTCCAATTAGATGAACAATGTTCATGAAAAGGGGTGCTCAAATGAAACACTTACTTAAATATGGTATTTGCCGGGCCCTAATAGCTAACGTATCTGTACGTTTTCTATATATTAAAGAGCGCGGTTAACTGTACTTCAGACATCATCGGGGCTTCTTAGAAGGCATACTCACAGCCTCCTCGGTTTAGAGGCCAGGGTTCAGACACCGTTCCATGTTCCTCGGGAGAACATACGACGTTCCTGGAGGGGCGTTTAACCTCCCCGGCTTGGAGGCCGGGATACAGACATCATGCAGAGTTTTTAGAAGAATATATTCTCTGCCTCTGGCTCGAGGCCGGGATAGAGGCAATATGTAGGGTTTCAGCCTTTGGATCTGATTCCAACGCTTGTTAAACTCAGACTGTAGATATTATAATAACTCATAATGTATTATCATAGATGTTGTAGTTTCCTGTAGTTTATATATAAACATAGTTTTAACCACACAGTGTTCCAGAGTTAATTGACCATTGAAGTTTTATACAAAACGTGAAAGTCCTGATTAGAGAAGTTTCACCATAGTGACACATACTGGGGTTTTGGGAGACCGCTGCTAGGTTAGTCGCACAGTTCACTTTTCGGTGTCTTGAAGAAGGATTGTGTTACTGGCCGTTTTCTAGGGATATGGGACCAGGATAGTGTCACAAGATTACTTTACTGAAACTTTGATGCCGGAAGCATTATTTGTCATTGTAAACATTGTATAATAATGATACTCACTGAGGTAGTTCTCGAGTCCGACTTCCTCGCCTTGACACCAAGTTCATTACCAACACGATGAAGTTCAAAAAGTTCATACTCGTATTCTTTAATCCCAGCATCTACATCCACCCAGCCGTCCCATGAAAAACGTTTAGTACGCTAGACAATAAATGATTTATGATTAGATGATTAGAATACTTTATTCTCATGCCATTCTAGTTGATATTATATCGCCGTGAATGGTATTTAAATAAAAGAAATGGTCTTCTCCCAACAGTCTAAATTGATTTCAGAAGTAACAACGTCATCGACGGAGAAGTACTTATGAAGCATTAGCCTGGGAGTAAAAATTATAAAGTGGCAAATGTTCCACTAAATTGCTCAGAATCGGGTTATTCCGCACTTACTCTAAAGGATGCATTTGAAGCTGTATAAGGTAAGATAATATGTGGATGAAATAAATAATGCATCGTTGGGAATTTACAATGATATGGACCTGAACGGAAAGTATTTCTTAACATAGTAAGTAGTGAGGCAACTGAACATCTACTCTGAGTACTCTCCACGCGCTACTCCCTGATTGAGACTCTGGTATACACTAAATCCATTCTATGCCTCCGCCACCCCGACCATCCTCATCCCAGCCATATGCCCAAATGCTGCAAATTCTCTTAAATTGTTCTTTGAGATCCCAACATCACAAAGTACGTCTAAAGGACATCTTCATGGGGTTACAATGAAATGGATTCACACGGAATGGATTGTGATATACAATAATATGTGTCTTAGCTGGACAATATTCTATTCAAGGTCTACAATAATATTGGTCTAGAGTATATAATTATGTACCTGTTTAGATAAGTCTACATCAGAGAGCATATCTAGAGAACATCCTGACTGGGGTGTACAATGATATGGATCTACAGTGTCAAATGTTATAGAAAATGTATTGGTTTGAGTCAATCCTTGTAGGTATACAGTTTCCACCAAGTTTGTTTCTTTATTTTCGATCTTAACAAATCCACCATTGGCAACTGACATCGAAAACGAGAGTCTAAAATGTACAACATTTATTTTAACTGCAGAATATCAAGTACTGGGTTTAATATCTGCATAAAAACATCTGTCAACAGTGTAAATTCACCAACCTTCCTTGAATTTTTAAAAAGGAAATACATGTAATCTTAAATAGAGAAGACAATAACTTTATCAGAGGTGGATTCAAGGGGGGGGGGGGGGCTAATTTTCATCAGTGCCCTTTTTTACTGCTGAAAGTGCCTTTTCTCAGACCCAAATATGTCCATTCCCAACCCGTTTCAGTGATCCCAAATGACTCAAACCATCGATTCAAACACACCAGTCCGGTCTAATTAATGCTTCCACTTTCAAACGAATAGTGAAGTGGCTAGGGAATAGATTCGTCTTTTTTCCCATGTTCAACTGGCTTTTCTGCTCGATTTTAAGGCTCTTTTTCAACGATTTCCGAACGTTTACTTAGACGAAAATATCAGCCAAATAGCTCTTGGAATGGCTACAGATGCAAGGAAATGGCGGATAATTTTCTTGCCCCCCCCCCAAAAAAAAAAGAAAAACCCTCTCAGCGGCGTGCCCCGTCTCCGCGGTCAGTGCCCTCATTTTGCGGCGCCCCCCCCCCTTTCAAAATTCCTAGATCCACCCCTGTTTATCCTGTATTGCCTTCACAAGATTCAACACATTTAAATATGTCTGGCAGTTATTATCAGAATTATTTCCAATCTACCCTGCTATATGCAGTTACATAGAACTGCATATAGATACTTTACCCACGACTTCAAGCGCTTAAGACTTTTACTGTATTCTACCCCTTTGAGCATAATAATTAGTTACACGGGAAGTAAAGCGCATACACATTGTTATGTTCTTGTTATGTCAAAAAGACCGAAAAACATTTTAATTCGTTCGTTCCTGTGTTGTGTTATATCATGCTAGTTATTTACGAAAACTTACACATCCTTGTGATTAAATGGTAGAGATAACTGAGATAAATCTGTTAATGTCTGTTCACAGGTAAACACACCCCGGTTAGGATTACTTCGACTCTGTGTTCCACCACAACGATGAGAAATAATATTATTGACATCTGAAATAGAACAATTATTCCAAGAACAAATGACTGGCATTAAATAAATAAAAGTTGGTTTCAATCGAAAGGTGTGCTGTTAACAAATGCATTACTAAATTATGGTCCATAGGACATTGAGTCATAGGAATAAGAATATTAATGCTAATGGAAACAAAACCAATAAGAAATTACAGTTTTGTGTTGGATTAAAACAGAGGCGAGAGATGTATTTATGAGTTAATATTACAACGACCTTTACCCCTTTCCAGACGTAAACTCGCACTAATAATGCCAACTTTAAAATCCTTGACATACTCCTGTCGAGAAGGCACAGCTTGTTGGTAATCTGCAGTAAATCTAAAGTGAATATTAACAGGATTAACCATATTAGTCCACACAGTATCTTGAACTGGTCCTATATTTGTATTTCCTGGTGCATCAGTTGTACCACCATTATTAGCTGCTGTCAGACTTAGTATATTCTCTTTAATTGACGGTTTTTCAGTTACTGAAATAGATAAATTGTCTAGTAACTGATTGACGTTTACGGTACTCAATAATCATATACAATAGGAATTGATGACTAGTCTTATTTATAAGTAACTTAGTAACTGTTCTTTGAATATATTTGACATGCGTCATTGCTAATGTGAATACCAATGCTGCTGAAAACAGTCCCATCTACTTAGTGCAGAGACCACTTCGGCTGCTAGTGTAAATACCATTGCTGTATAATCGTAATATGCAATGCTGCAGAAAAGAACCAAACGTAATTAGTAGTGAAGAGAAGAGACCAGTTTTACTGCTTAGTAACACGCCATCTGAATTAATTACTAATGAATAATTCGTTATTGGGACCATTAGCTGACTCAGCAGAATAATATTTTTATTCAGGAAATTAGACACAGAATTGTGGAGCAAGCTAGACCTTAGTGGAACTGTGATACTTTGTTTTCTTAAATCGATTTCGACAAATCACCTACCTGTTTGTTTGATTATGCCATTAGTTTTTCTGTTGATTTTAAATGGAAACGGCAGCGACACTTACTTTTATCGCATTTTGATCCTGTAAATCCTGACGTACATATGCAATTTGATGCAAGTTCATTAGCACAGCTTCCGGGATAACATGGGGTACTATCAGATCGCCAAGAACACGCCTCTGTAATAATAGGAATATAATTATATTTATTCAATGACTAGGCCACTGCCTTCTGCTAAATATAACGACACATACAAACGTCAAAGAAGAGTTATTCAACTACGTGAAATTCTCAATTAAGAAGAAATGATTCCATTATGTTCTGTAACTGGTAAGAATGCTCTTATCAAGCACGTAACCCGTCACTACATATTGTTTGTCATATATTATACAATATTGATACCTGTACATTAAATACTAACTTGTACAACGTGTCTTATCACTGGAAACAACATAAGCTCTAAAGCCAGGCTTTTCATCTCGAACTCCTTCACATCTAGAGCACCTCTGGTTTGATGATGATGTACACGTTTCCAGATCACAGTTCGTAATAGCTGAGCACACTATAAAATTTAATGAAAATATGTTACTGAATCATAATATACCATCAATAACAAACTTTAAAAATAGAAGGAAAATACTAAATCATACTACTGTATCAATGACAAAATTATTAGATGCCTGATTACTATTGAATTCGGATCACATTTTACAGTATCTGTTAGTTTATATCACATTTTACTTTTCATGCAGTCTGTTGTAACTGTTGGGATTCGTATATGAGAAGACTATAGATATGTAAATTACTATCTGAAAGTTAATTAACAACATTTTGACCATTTAATTATATATTGCATTTTGTTCGTTGATCGGAACAAACACTGTTGAAATTCATTACGCTTATTGAAGGTGATGTCTAAGCTTTCCTCGCTCGTTTATATCAACGTGATTATTGAATATTAAAGAATTAAAAAAAAAACTAAAAAAATTAACAATAAATGACAATTAAGAAAACGGAAAATTATGAATACATACTCTCACACGTCGGGCCAGCTGAATAAAAACCATCTTTTGGACAGCTACATTGTTCAGGATTTGGACATGTACCATATATATATCTTTGAATACTCCCATCACTATATTTTATATGGGAGCTGGGGAAATAGTTATTACAAGCTGATGGATTAATCTTGTTATCACATATAGCTAAAATATAAAATACACAATGTTTAATGTGTAATAGACCATAATGTAATACCAATCGGGGTGATATATTATAGTTTAATGTCTGAAAGACCATAATGTAATACCAATGGCAATTCCAGATAATGTTATACTCTTAATCCCTATACATCTCATTTCTTCGTCTGTGACATTTCGACCACATTTCGATATTTTTAACGTGTCTAGACTAGGGTTTATGGGTAGTGTACAAGATATTGGCAGATTATCAAACAGAAAAAAATATGTTTGGAGTATAAACGGAATACATGCCTATCACGCGCAATAAATTGGAGGTCGTCAAATTAATTGGACGCACGTGTTCGTTCATACCCCAATCAATCCCTACCTACCAATTACGTGATAAGCCAATACACCCACCCCCTCTGTAACCATGTCCTTCGTGTAAATTCCCCCCCCCCCACCAACACCTTTTCTGTAACAGTAATGGGTCTTTATATCAGGTTCTTGACGACAACACTGGTTTAACTTCAAATTATTTCTTTTATTCTTCTTTCAGCTTATCATGTACAAAACTTAAGACTCCGTAATTAGCTTGTGTTGAAGGAGCCATGGTCCTAGCTTGGCTTGGCACAGCGTGCCAACCCCCGACTTACTTACATGGCCACTATCCGGTCTTAACTCGAGACCTGCCTGGTCCCAAGTTAACTTCTAGACGCCCCCGCCTAGCCTCCTCTGCTGATTCGTTTGTATTCTGGGTTTATAAACCCTTCCAGACAAGGATCTCATTACATATCTGGCTACTGCATCATATCAGATTTAACATTCAATACAGTTTGCTTATAAGACAAAGGAAGTTAAATAAAACAGGCCAGCCACAAGTTGATGTTACATAATGGCTAATGAATGCCATCAGGACAACCAGGGGTGTCGATAGCGGACAGGTTGATATTAAAATCAGTTTCACGTGTCAAGATGGCACGAAGCGTTTATAACATCTGTCGATACGTAAAAGTCCGCATCAATCACCACCTAACAATTACGTGATTAGCCAATAAACCCACCCCACTGTAACCATGTCCTTCGTGTCAAAGGTAATACCCCCCCCCCCCAAGCACACACACCTTCGGCACCAATCCCCGGCTACCAATTGCATGATCATCCATTACACCCATCAACATATTGTAACCAAGACCTTCGTGTAAACGAGTGTTTGACAAGTTTTTTTTATTATTTGTAAATAGTTCATGAAATTAAAAAAAATCCTCCTAAATTTCAACAATTTCGCCACATCAAAAGAAATAAAAAAAATAAAACATGCCGGATTTCAATTAATTTCTTGTTAAAAAAAATCTGCCAATTAACATATAAATTGTTTTCAAATTCCGTAATTTCAACAATCTAAAGAACAATACCATCGAATTAAAAAAACTATTCTTCAAATCAAATTATACATAATTACTAGAAATTAAGTAGCTTAAAAAAATTAAAATTGAAAAATAATATCTGCGAATTAAAACATAAAATTTTCCGAAATTCAGTAATCAAAAAACCACCAATGAAACAAATCAAAAGCATTATCAATTATCCCAACATACATGTATGTCAACAAATAATTTCTTCAAATTAGAAAAGAAAATGGAATCAGAACGGACGTTTTTGGATCATGTGCAGCAAGGTTGCAGTAATTCAGTAATCAACACCCTTATATCAAATGTAAAGCGGCTGACACGTCACGAGTTCATGTGATCGCGAAGTTAAATGCCCCCCCCCCCCCTTCCATGCAAACGGTTAGATCTATTTGATAAGGCCAACTTCAAGTTTGGTCAAAGTTCACGAGATGTAAACAGGGCTAGCGCTAATCCCAACCCTAACCTTTCTAGCCGTAACGCTTCCCCTAACCCTAACGAAACTTGAGTTGTCCTTAATAAATAGATCTAGCTCATGCGTACCATAGACAAGAATGGCAACGCCCCCAATTGCAAATAACTACGTTCATCTTTACTAATAACTCTATTCTTAGTGTGATAAAGCACACCCTTACTACTGACAGATAATACAGATATAAAATATATTTACCATGATCACACGCCAGATCAGAACCAACAGATCTCCAACCAGTGCAGCAAAAACTTCTAGTACTATATAGTATTCTAAAAAATACATATTTCATTGTATGTATGTATTTCTATCTTTGTCAAACAAGTAAGTTGGTATGGTGTTTTTATTCCAGGAGTTTAAACTTTATAGGTGGAACTCCCGGAACAGACATTACCGTACCAACTTTAATGTTTGACAATGATTGAATTACACACATACAATGAATTAAAGTTAGAGCGGTGCATACACCAAGTCAGACTTCAGTCAAACTTCGGATAAAGTAATGCCGTACATGATCCTAAATTTGTTTCTTATTTCAAAGTGTGGGGTATGATTGTATTTAGGTGACGCGTACATCTGGCTATCGTTACACAATCATGGGCAACCAATACTGCTTTTCTATTAGCTATTATGATTTTGATAACACGCATATATGAAGTCCCTCGAATCATTTCCATGGCAGAACTAGTTCTAGGTCTTGAAGGATTACTATTTCTAGAACAATTTGTTTAGTACAGTTAATTAAGCTAAAATAAAATCACCATCTCAGTAGCTTACCTATGTCTTGTGCATCGACTCCAACCCCATTTAAAAAAATCACATTTTGTAGTGTATCTCTCCTCGTAGGCTACTTGCTCTGTACAAATATGGCTACTACAAATCAAATGTAGAAAAATATATGGATGAAATGTAGTAACAAATCTGAAAATGATCAAGAACCCGCCCTTTTTTCTAATAAAGTTATAAAGTTCTTCTCAGGCTTTATAACATGTCAATTATACACGTATTATGTCATAGATATTGTGAATAAACAACCATGATAAAACACAATAACGTATATCATTTGTAAACAAAATATATATTGGATATTTCTGTCTTACACCATGATAATTGTAATAATGTATCATTATAATACTATCATTATAATACTATCATTATAATACTATACGGCCTATATACTGTATAGGTTATTTGGGTTCTCTAAATGATGCCCTGGTTAATGTAAATAAGTCGTTAGTTGGTACAAGTGACAACGAGAACCAAGCTAATGAGATATACTCTTTTTTTTAAATAATGAATTAGTTTACTTTGTATAGTACCATCGGATAATGAAATGATAGGGGCCATACTATATACCGGAAAACACCGGAAAACAATCAGAAAATACCGGAAAACAACCGGAAAACACCATTTTATACTGAATACCGGAAAACACCGGAAAAACACAAA